CTGGGTGGCTGGCCCCTCGAGTCCTCCTTCTCTGGCCGCTCATCTTATTCTGTGGCTGGTTGTGTAGCTGGGTGGCTGGCCCCTCGAGTCCTCCTCCTCTGGCTGCTCATCTTACATCTCTCTTCCTCATTTTCTCCCTATGTTCTCTCTGCCTGCCAGCCCCGCCTATCCTTTCTCCTGCCTCGCTATTGGCCAGTTCTTTATTAGACCATCGGGTGTTTTAGACAGGCACAGCAACCCAGCTTCACAGAGTTAAACAAATGCAACATAAACAAAAGTAACACTCCTTAAAATATTCTACTACAACACATTAAAAAAAAAAACCCAACATTTTGTATAGTGGCCTAGAATGTGGGCAGGAAGTCTATATAAAACAAAATTTTAAAAATAGGACATTTATTAATTTTATGAGCATACATAGGAAGAAAGACCAGACAATTACTGATTATAAAGATTGTATATATAACTTTCAAGAGACCTTGTACATTTCACATGCCATCCAATCCCTTTGAAGCCAGGTCTAAAAGCAAACACTACTAATGATGCCTCAAGTATTGAATTGAAACCACACAGACCATTCCATTATCTTCAGTTGATTATAATTATATTTTTGAACATGTTTTGCTGAAGAACGCTAAAATCATGAGTTTTTTCCCTTTTAAATCAGGTTGTATTATTTATAGTCACTACCATGAGAATGTGTCCTCTCTGTCTTTCCCTCCCCCTCCATCATCCCTACAATGACTTGAGATTCTGAGAGGATGTTTTAAGTGTTAGTTTTTGTTGACACTCCAGGACAAAAATATTTTGAAAATTAGCATTTACATTTAGTTGTTTGGCAACTTAAAATTGATAGCTCTTGCATATCTCCTCTGTGCAAAGAGCTAGGTTGTATTAATGTTGAAAGACATATTTCTTTTAGTCATAGTGATAATTTCTTTCAAGGAATTTTCATTTTCTCCAAATAATTGAGGGCATTAGTATAGCAAGACCAAGTTATTGAAAGTCTTTAAGGTTTTAAATTACATTTATTTATTGTATGTGTGAGTCTGTGCACACACATGCGCATGGGGAGGTCGGAAGACAGCTCTGAGGAGTCCATTCTTTTTCCACTGCGTGGGTCCACGAGGGTGAACACAGGTGTCAGGTTGACAAGTACCTTTGCCTGCTTAGCTGTTTGCTGGTCCCGTCACTCATCCTTCAGAGAGCTGAATTTACTAATCTGATTTCTAGATGACAAGGTTTTCTGTTTTAAATAGTCAAGGGTTCTCCCTGCCTCCTTCCCCCAAGTCGGCTTTTAATGCCAGCTTCCTGGTTCTGCTCTTGAAGCAGCAGCCCCTGCTGACTGTGTTTCTGGGGTTCTGGGTTTCTTTCCCCATCTTGGGTTATATGATAATAGGTTTGTGAACTTGAAGTGAAAATAGATGGTTCAGATGAAAGGTTGGTTGGCAGTAGTTTGGGACAGCTCTAGAGGGTGGATGTGTTTGGTTTGGTCTTCAGGGACTGTTAAATGTGATGACTGAGTCATACTTGGTGCTTCTTCTGTCCCCTGGCTAATCTCGGTTAAACCCGAGGTTTGCCAGCCACGGGACACTCAAAAAGCAGAGCAGGCCTCAGCCCAGGGGGAGTTTGTTTATTTAAAGAAAAAAAAAAAAATGAAGTTCAGACATCCCTACAGTGTTGCATCTCATTTACTTATGTTAAGAGTTAGTGTGCTCTTTTGATTCTTTCCAGTGGCCACGATGCCTAAAGATAACACGTAAATTTGAAGTAGTTGAACTTTTCCTGAACAGACTTGGCACTTTATAATCACAAACAGAAGTGCTTAAAGAAGCAGGAGGAAGGGAATGTCATTGCTCTTGGGAATTGTTCTAATGGTGCTCATTTGATTAAATCTGAACTGCTCCTTGTGGAGTTTGGTATCGGGTATTTGGAAACAAAACAGTAAGAAAAACAGTGTAGGAGATACATCTTCACTAATTCTTTGAAGTTAGGAACATAAGAATTGTTTTTTTAGGGACAGGGTTTCTCTGTGAACAGTCCTGGCTGGCCTGGAACTCATTTTGTAGACCAGGCTGGCCTTGAATTCACAGAGATTACCTGCCTCTGCCTCACCACTACACCCAGCCACAAATAGCATTTTGTGGATTGTTATTCAATTATAGCATGAGAAGTAGGGAACTGCCAGAATTTGGGTTATTTTTGCAATCTGTAAGAGTGGCAGCTTTTCACTCCCTACAGAAGACTTGTATGCCTAATGGTCTCTGCAATACCTTAGAGGACATGAATGTTTAATAAAAAAAATACCTGCCCACCCCATGCCTGGTACTTGGCAAAATCATATATTCAGCTCTTCTTCTTCTTCTTGGAATCTTTACCAAAGGTGAAGATGATCAAGCTCCAAGGTGGCCTAGGCTTTTGTTCTAGTTCTGTGGTTGGGAACATGTCTTTGTTGTCTTTTATGGTTTTTGTGTATTGATGAAAAGATGATGATGTAGTTGGCATTAGTGGTGTTTCTGTGGGAGAAATGGTGTTTGAGATGTAAGCATTTTGGCTTAGTGTTTCTGTTAGCTGTGAAGAGATACCACATCCATGGCAACTCTTATAAAGGAAAACATTTAGTAGTGGCTGGCTTACAGTTCAGAGGTCTAGTCCATGGTCATCATGACAGGAAGCATGGGGGCGTGCAGGCAGACATGATGCTGGAGAGGTAGCTGGGGGTTCTACAGCTGGTGTTGTGGGCAGCAGGAGAGAGAGTGACACTGGGCCTGGCTTGAGCTTCTGAAACATTAGAGCCTGCCTCCTGTGATGCACTTCCCCCAACAAAGCCACACCTTCAGTAATGCCACTCCTGTGAGTCTGTGGGGGCCATTTTCTTTTCTTTCTTTCTTTTTTTTTTTTTTAAACATAATTTCTTTATTGGATCTTTAGGAATTTTACATCATGCACCCCAAATTCTGCTCACCTCCCAGTCCTTCCATATTCTCCCCTCTCCCTTGCATTGCCCCCCCCCAATGAAAATCAGTCAATCAATCAATCAAAACCTCTTCCCTCCTCCATCTTTCCTGCCTCTCCACCACCTCTTCATTTGCCCTGGTGGCACTGGGAGCTGCAATGTGTCACACAGTGTACCCTTTTGTCCAATCAGCTTTACTTGCAAATATTCAGTGCAGTGTGTCATTGGTTTGGTTCAAGGCCTCTGGTTTCTGGTACACCATCATCACTCCTCACCAAAACTCCTCATGGAGATCCTACAGTTATCCATCCACAGGACCAGTCCCTTTATGAGCTCCAGAGGTCCTAGATGGGCTAGATGTTAGGCTTGGCCAACCCCAGTGGGCCTGGGTGGTAGTTGAGCTGGTCAGTCCAGGCCACTGGGGCCTGTGGGTGGAACTAGCTCCCCTATGCCAACTTCCTCGGGGCCAGCTCTCCCCTGCCCAGGATGAGGGGTGAGGCTAGCTATTTCAGGGCCAGCGAAGGGCAGGGCTGGCTCAGCATGCATGGTCCTGATTCCCTCGTGCACGGCTCACATGGCCCTGTGGGGGCCGTTGTCGTTCAAACCACTGTATATTTAATCAGTTGGAGTTAACCAATCATCAGTTTATTCGTTCTTTGAATAAACATGTATAGAGCACTCATTGGCACAAAAGCCATTGTTTCAGGTGCCTAAAGTCAATAAATAAAATGGACAGACTCCCTTTCTTGGGTTTTCATTTTAGTTGTAATGGATAAATAAACCGTGAGTGGGCGCTTGCTTCATGGGGTTCAAAACGTGCCATTTTACGGTTTCCTGTGTGTATCTTTTTTGTTCCAGTTTATAAATCACAATCAAAATCTATAAGGCCCAGCAGGAACAAAGGTGTTGAGGACTGAAACATTCTGGTCCTGTAGGACAGTACATTTTTAAATCTTACATAACTCTTAGCCCTGCTAATGTTTTCTGTTAGGAGTTTGCTTAAGAACTTTGTTAATAGTCCTTGCTGGTCACGATAATGTAATTAACTGTTCTTAAAGAGTTTATGGTTTTATAATACATGAATCACATTCTCAATTACTGTACTTTATTTCAGAAATGGCCGTCAAGAAGTAGATGCCCAGATGTAACGGTGAGGAAATAATCCACGTGTCATGAAGTAAGATGCAGCATAGCGTTCCTCCAGATTAGTAAGTGACCAAGTCTCTCTCTTCCATCCTAACAGTTCTCTACGCTTAATTAATTAATAAGAATGTGGGCATAAGAGTCACACTAAATTTCTGGTTTTACTGTGTAGTACACATTCTAGCATATGGTTCTAGAAAATGTGCCTGCTATGTTTTCTTGAAGGAAACATATAGGTAGTATTATTGAATTAATATTGCCAGCACTTGGGAGGCAGATGCAGGCAGATCTCTGTGAGTTCAAAGGAAGCCTGGTCCACAGATCTGGGACAGCCAGGGCTACACAGAAAAACCCTGTCTCAAAAAAAACCAACCAACCAAACAAACAAATAAATAAAATTTAGAAATTAAAAATAGAAAAGAAAGAAAGGTTAAAATAGTGGGACCCACTAGCTGAGGAAGAGACGGGAAGGGCAGAGTACCGAGAGTGTTATTTGGCACCGGGGGCTTGTGACTCACGGGACAGGCGCTGGGGTCAGGAGCGCAGGATCCCCTCACGGGCTTCTCCTGCCCTGTCGTCCTCCGACTTCAGGATGTTAAGAAGATCTTAGGATGTACATAGTGTGTTCACATCTTCAAGGCATTGAGAATGTACTTCAGTAGAAATTCAGAATCTTCTTGCTGTGCTTAAAGCAAAAGTAGAAATTTCAGAAGATTTAATCTCACTGACCTTAAATCTGTCCTTCTTTGCCATTTTCTTTTGGAAAGTGGGATTTAAATCTTCTACATTAATGTAATGTACAGTAGATACATAATGATGATGGCTTATAGTGTGTGATACTTTTAGGGCTCCTAACTAGAGTGGTAAATTGTGTGTGTGTGTGTGTGTGTGTGTGTGTGTGTGTGTGTGTGAGAGAGAGAGAGAGAGAGAGAGAGAGAGAGAGAGAGAGAGAGAGAGAGA